CCACCGATACCAATGATGGGGCACTATTCCTCCCACTGACACCAATGATGGGGCACATTCCTCCCACTGATACCAATGATGGGGCACTATTCCTCCCACTGATACCAATGATCTGGCACTATTCCTTCCACTGATACCAATGATGGGGCACTATTCCTCCCACTGATACCAATGATCTGGCACTATTCCTTCCACTGATACCAATGATGGGACACTATTCCTCCCACCGATACCAATGATGGTGCACTATTCCTCCCACTGATACCAATGATGGGACACTATTCCTGCCACTGATACCAATGATGGGGCACTATTCCTCCCACTGATACCAATGATGGGACACTATTCCTGCCACTGACACCAATGATGGGACACTATTCCTCCCACTGACACCAATGATGGAGCACTATTCCTCCCACTGATACCAATGATGGGGCACTATTCCTCCCACTGATACCAATGATGGTGCACTATTCCTCCCACTGATACCAATGATGGGACACTATTCCTGCCACTGACACCAATGATGGGACACTATTCCTCCCACTGACACCAATGATGGAGCACTATTCCTCCCACTGATACCAATGATGGGACACTATTCCTTCCACTGATACCAATGATGGGGCACTATTCCTCCACTGATACCAATGATGGGACACTATTCCTCCCACCGATACCAATGATGGTGCACTATTCCTCCACTGATACCAATGATGGGACACTATTCCTCCCACCGATACCAATGATGGTGCACTATTCCTCCCACTGATACCAATGATGGGACACTATTCCTCCCACTGATACCAATGATGGGGCGCTATTCCTCCCACTGATACCAATGATGGGACACTATTCCTCCCACCGATACCAATGATGGTGCACTATTCCTCCCACTGATACCAATGATGGGACACTATTCCTCCCACTGATACCAATGATGGGGCACTATTCCTTCCACTGATACCAATGATGGGGTACTATTCCTCCCACTGATACCAATGATGGGACACTATTCCTCCCACTGATACCAATGATGGGGCACTATTCCTCCACCTGATACCAATGATGGGGCCCTATTTCTTCATCAAGCCCAAGACATTGTTTACTTTGTTTAACCCCTTCCCAGCCAGTGTCATTAGTACAGTGTCAGTTAATATTTTTAGCACACTGATCACTGTATTCAGTCACTGGTTCCCACAAAGTGTCAGTGTCCCAAATGTCCGCCACAATGTTGCATTCCCGCTATAAGTTACTAATTGCCGCCATTACTAACATAAAAAAATAAAAATTCCATTGTGTATATACACCATAGTTTGTAGATGCGATAACCTTTGCGCAAACTGATCAATATACAGTTATTGGGATTAGTTTTTAATAAAAAAAAACCAAATTTTTTGTTAAAATATAACAGATGATGTAATGCCGAGTAAATAGATACCAAACACGTCACGCTTTAAAAATGCGTACGCTTGTGGAATGGCACCAGACTACAGTACATTCAAATCTCCATAGGCAAAAGAAGGTCTGCAGCTAAAATTTTTGCCGTTTCTCAGACGTTTGCGAAAATGCCTCACGAGTGTGGTATGATCACCGTTTATCAGGGATGTACAATTCCTATCGCCTGAAACCCAGGACATGTAATTCCGGGCAGGGTCGTTTTTTTTTGCCTTTAGTCCTGCTGCGGGCAAGCAGCAGGGCTCACCTGTCAGGTGGAAGCATTTGGGCGGCAGTGCTGCTGCCCGATTGCTTCCACACAGCCCACAGTGTCAGTCTCTCCCCCCTGCCCGCTATATGTCCCGGGCTCCGTTTGCCCATCTGCGGGCCCAGGACTGGCTCAGTGTGCGCCGGCGAGATGTGGTACAAGAAAGGGAGGAGAGTGGACACATCCGCTCCCCTCCCCTTTTTCTCCTGACCCGGAAGTGATGTCACTTCCGGGTCCCCATTTGACACATTCCCGGTCATTGAAAAAAAAAAAAAAAAAAAAAAAAAAAAAAGAATGTGATGCGGTGCGATGTGCACTGCATTACATTCAGTGGAGCACAGGGGGAGACATCCAGGGTCTAAAAGTCTCAAAAAGAGAGAACCTATCAGCAAAAAAAAAAAAAATCATCTTTCTGTCCCCATATACGATCAAAAAAAAAAATTAAGTAAAAAAAAAAGTTTTTTAAAAAAAAAAAAAGTTACATCCAAGCATAGACCCCCCCTCCCCCAAATTTTTCAAGAGCCCCACATATACGCACACAGAAACGTAGAAGCACACATGAAGACGTCGATTGCAATACACGTTACATATCGCCGCGCACGCCAGAATGAGAACAATAATTCTATCACCAGACCTCCTCCGTACACTATACCAGAGGTGGGCAACTGTGGCCCTCCAGCTGCTGTAGAACTACAAGTCCCATAAGGCATTGCTAAACTGACAGTTACAAGCATGACTCCCAAAGTCAGAGGCATGATGGGACTTGTAGTTCACCAACAGCTGGAGGGCCACAGTTGCCCACCCCTGCCTATACTAAATGACCTATAAGGGGCTTTTAAAAATAAAAAAAACAGAAAATATAGGGTACTGAAGTTCGTTGCCCCTTTCATGAGCGCACGCAGATTTAATGTTTGACATGTTGGATATCTATTTACTCGCTGCGACCTCATATTTTATATTTTACAAAGAAATTGGAAAAAGTATTGCTTTTTGTGCCCTAAAATTAACTTTACGTTTTACTGAAATTTTGTGTTTCCTAGACCTTTGTGATAATATCATGTGACATAAAAAATTGGAACTACTGCTATTTTATTCTCTAGGATCTCTGATTTCAGAAAAATATATCATGTTTTGGAGTTTTGTATAATCTTCAGGCCTACAATCATTTTTTTCAAACGTGCAAAAAAAGCAGTCAAAAAAAAGGGCTCTGGCAGATAAAGGATAAGTCGGACACATCCCCTTTCCTGACAAGCAGCCATTCGGTGCTCATTATACTGCAAGGTTTCTCTTCTCCCTGCTTGTCCCTGGGGTGGCATGGGCTGGGAGACAGGCAGGGAAGGGGAGGAGGAGAAAATACAAACGCAATGCTAAAAATATTAAACGTTTAAGTCGCCATAAAAGCCCCTTTTGTTTCTAAAAGCCCCGACATTACTTATAGAAGATTTAAATGCGGTTTTGGTTAAATTTATGTTTTTTTTATTTGGACAAGTAGATGGTCATGAGGGACAAGTAGATTGGGACACCCGATTTAGTCCCTGGACAAGTAGTTTTTTAAAAAAACGTTTATGCATGCGGGAATTACATATGGATTTGTACTTAAGCAAAAGGGGGGGGGGTTAGCTTTATTTTTTTCAATTTTTTTTAATTTATTTTAAACTTCTTGTTACTGTCACTTTAATTTTTATTTTTTAACAACTTTCTATTTTCACAAAGGAAGAACATCCCTTGTAAAATAATGGGCCGTGACAGGTCCTCCCCTGGACCCCGCATTCACTAAGTACCCGCTCTCCCCGGACCCCGCATTCACTATATCCGCTCTCCCCGACCCCGCATTCACTATATCCGCTCTCCCCGGACCCCTTGCATTCACTATATCCGCTCTCCCCGGACCCTGCATTCACTATATCCGCTCTCCCCGGGACCCCGCATTCACTATATCCGCTCTCGCCGGACCCCGCATTCACTATATCCGCTCTCCCCGGACCCCGCATTCACTATATTCCGCTCTCCCCGGACCCCGCATTCACTATATCCGCTCTCCCGGACCCCGCATTCACTATATCCGTCTCCCCGGACCCCCGCATTCACTATATCCGCTCTCTCGCCGCACCCCGCATTCACTATATCCGATCCGCTCTCCCCGGCACCCCGCATTCACTATATCCGCCGCTCTCCCCTCGGACCCCGCATTCACTATATCCGCTCTCCCCGGACCCCGCATTCACTATATCCGGTCTCCCCGGACCCCGCATTCACTATATCCGCTCTCCCCCGGACCCCGCATTCACTATATCCGCTCTCCCCGGACCCCCGCATTCACTATACCGGCTCTCCCCGGACCCCGCATTCACTATACAGGCTCTCCCCAGGACCCGCATTCAATATACCGGCTCTCTCCCCGGACCCCGCATTCACTATATCCGGCTCTCCCCGGACCCCGCATTCACTATATCCGGCTCTCCCCGGACCCCGCATTCACTATACCCGCTCTCCCCGGACCCCGCATTCACTATATCCGCTCTCCCGGACCCCGCATTCACTATATATCCGCTCTCCCCGGACGCCCCCGCATTCACTATATCCGCTCTCTCCCGGACCCCGCATTCACTATATTCGCTACCCGCATTCACTATTCACGCTCTCCCCGGACCCCGCATTCACTATATCCGCTCTCCCCGGACCCCGCATTCACTATATCCGCTCTCCCCGGACCCCGCATTCACTATATCCGCTCTCCCAGGACCCCGCATTCACTATATCCGCTCTCCCAGGACCCCGCATTCACTATATCCGCTCTCCAGGACCCCGCATTCACTATATATCCGCTCTCCCAGGACCCTGCATTCACTATAATCCGCTCTCCCCAGGACCCCGCATTCACTATATCCGCTCTCCCCGGACCCCGCATTCACTATATCCGGTTCTCTCCCCGGACCCCGCATTCACTATATCCGGTCTCCCCGACCCCGCATTCACTATATCCGCTCTCCCAGGACCCCGCATTCACTATATCCGCTCTCCCCGGAACCCGCATTCACTATATCCGGTCTACCCCCGGACCCTCCGCATTCACTATATCCGGCCTCCCCGGACCCCGCATTCACTAATATCCGCTCTCCCAGGACCCCGCATTCACTATATCCGCTCTCCCCGGAACCCGCATTCACTATATCCGGTCTCCCCGGACCCTGCATTCACTATATCCGCCTCCCCGGACCCTGCATTCACTATATCCGGCCTCCCCGGACCCTGCATTCACTATATCCGGACTCCACGACCCCGCATTTCACTCCGGTCTCCCCGGATCCTGCATTCACTATATCCGGTCACCCCGGACCCTGCATTCACTATATCCGGTCACCCCGGACCCCGCATTCACTATATCTGGTCTCCCCTGACCCTGCATTCACTATATCCGGTCTCCCCGGAACCCTGCATTCACACTATATCCGGTCACCCCGGACCCTGCATTCACAATATCCGGTCACCCCGGAACCCTGCATTCACAATATCCGGTGACCCACCCCGGACCCTGCATTCACTATATCCGGCCACCCCGGACCCTGCATTCACTATATCCGGTCACCCCGGACCCTGCATTCACTATATCCGGTCACCCCGGACCCTGCATTCACTATATCCGGTCTCCCCGGACCCCTGCATTCACTATATCTGGTCTCCCCGGACCCTGCATTCACTATATCGCTGGTCTCCCTGGACCCTGCATTCACTATATCCGGTCACCCCGGACCCTGCATTCACTATACCTGCTCTCTCCCGGACCCTGCATTCACTATATCCGCTCTCCCCAGACCCTGCATTCACTATATCCGCTCTCCCCAGACCCTGCATTCACCATATCCGCTCTCCTGCCACCTGTGATAGCAAACCAGGGGTTAATTAGCTGAGAAGCCGATTGCCTCCTGGGAAAAAAACCAATACCGGGATGATGCCTGTAGCTGTAGGGGATCAGATCATCCAGGTGTACCGGGTGTAAATGTATGTAAGTGTGTACAGCACACTCTGACAAGAGTTGGGCTCCTCGGCTCTCCCATGATCCTCAGAGAAGGCCCAGTGACACCAGTGAAAGTCACCCCCTGTCCTAACTTTATTTGGTCAATTGTTTTCTAAACGTGATTTTACAAAGAGCGGTGGGGTACTGCTACATAATAGAACATTGAATTTGGGGTGCAAGATCTGCTTTGAAAATTAAAGAACCCGATCATAAGATTGTCACGGTCCAGTCCAAAATATGAAACATACAATTTATGGCCAATTTTATTTTTGGGAATTAAAAACAAGATATTTCCTTCCACTTCCTATCCAATAGCTGAAACAGGAAGTAAGATCAAAATCCTCCAGTGGGGGCATCTTGTGGTGGTCACCAGAAGAAGTGTCCCCATTGGGGAGATTTTCCCCTTACTTCCTGTCCCATAGCCAAATACACAAAGTGAGGGAATCACTGGTTGTCACCAAAACTAGTGTCCCCATTGGGGATGATTTCCCTCACGTCCTGTCCCATTGCCAAAACAGGATGTGAGAGGTGAGATACCTCCAAGTGAGGGAATCCCTGGTATTGTCACCAGAACTAGTGTCGCCATTGGGGAGATTTCCCCTTACTTCCTGTCCCATAGCCAAATACACAAAGTGAGGGAATCCTCACCAGAACTAGTGTTCCCCATCGAGGATATTTCCTTCCACTTCCTATCCAATAGCTGGGGGGGGGGGGGGGGGGGGGGGGGGGGGGGGGTGGGGGGGGGGGGGTGGGGTGGCCTGTGGTGTCACCAGAACTAGTGACCCCAATGGGGTGGGGGGGGGGGGTTCCTTTCCGTTAAGCAAAAACAGGGTGGAACTCCAAAGTGGGAATGGGTTGTCACCAGACCTAGTGTCCCCATTGGGGAGATTTCCCCCTTACTTCCTGTTCCATATCCAAATACACAAAGTGAGGAAATCCCTGGTTGTCACCAGAACTAGTGTCCCCATCGGGGATATTTCCCTGCACTTCCTATGGTGGGGCTGGTGGGGGTGAAATGAGAGGGGGGGGGGGGGGGGTGGGTGTGGGGGGGCGTGTGTGTGGTGTGTGTGTGTTTGTGTGTGTGTGTGTGTGGGGGGGGGGGGGGAATCCTGTGGGGAGATTTCCCCCTTACTTCCTGTTTCCATAGCCAAATACACAAAGTGAGGAAATCCCTGGTTGTCACCAGAACTGTGTCCCCATCGAGGATATTAGTGCACTTCCTATCCAATAGCTGAAACAAGAAATGAGAGGAAAATCCGCCCAAAGTGTGTGTGTGTGAGTGTGTGTGTGTGTGTGTGTGTGTGTGTGGTGTGTGTGGGGGGGGAGAATCCTGTGGTGTCCACCAGAACTAGTGACCCCAATGGGGATATTTTCCTCCACTTTTCCTTTCCGTTAAGCAAAACAGCTTGAACTCCAAAGGTATAAGTTGTGGAATCCCTGGTTGTCACCAGACCTATGTCCCCATTGGGGAGATTTTCCCTCATTTTCCTGTCCCATTGCCAAAACAGGATGTGAGAGGAGATAACTACAAAGTAAAGGAATGGGTTTTTGTCACCTAGAACTAGTGTTCCCCATTGGGGGGGAGCACTTCCTATCTAATGTCCAAAACAGGAAGTGAGAGGAAATTCCTCCAAAGTCAGGGGAATCCCTGTGGTGTCACCGAACCAGTGACCCCATTGGGGGTGATTTCCCCTTACTTCCTTTTCCATAGCTAAAATGCAGGAAGTGAGGGGAAATCCCTCTGACTGAAGGAAATTTATCCCCCCCCCATTATTTTCCATCATGCCTCCCCGGGGTTTCTGCACCAATCACACCCAGGCTGCTCACAATCCAAATACTAGACGCATGATGGGGGTGTATGGTACACAACTCCCTACAAACCTAACCTCCCAGTGCTTATGCCATCGGTTACAACATGGAACCCCCCCCCCCCCCAGAGGCAGAGAAGGCCTGAACATGTCTGGGGACAACATATGGAGACCCCCCCCCCCAGGATAGAGGAGGCCTGAGCATGTCCTGGCTGAGGATGGTGTATGATCCAGTATGAGGAGGTTTTCTGCTTCCCACCATATAGACCGATGGCTCTGTGTACTGTCCTTCTCCAGCCTGACACCCCCGGTCAGGACCCCCCTCATATCACCAATGACAACCCAATAAATTTATTTTTTTCAGGACCCCTCACATATCACCATGACAACCCCGGTCGGCTCCCCACCTCCGGTCAAGACCCCCTCACCTCAGCTCTCCTCCGTTCACTCTTCTTTCTCTCAGCCACCAGATGCGTCAAGTTCACTTCGAGGCCCCCCCTCCCCTCCTCCCGTTCTGCCTTTTAGGGCTGTCCCTTGAGCGCCTGTCTCTATTTTCTCCCTATTCCATCGTCTTCTCTCCCCTCCGACACTCCCAGGAGACTCATTCTCACATTTGTTTATCTCACCCATTTTTTATGAGATGTACCTGTTTTATTGCTAGTTACTGTTTGCAGGTATATGGGTGAAGTCAGTCAGGCAGTGTGGCGTGATCTTTGATTTTTTTTAGGGGGAGTGAGCGTTCTTTGTTTTCTTGAGCCGGCTTTCCGAGGGGTCCTGTCAGTGTCACCTCGGACAACATGGCGGCTGTGAGAGATCAAGTGTGGGAGCGCTGCTCCCGGCTAGGGCGGGAAGACAGGTACCTGGGAATGGTGGGGGAGAGGAGGGGGGTCTGGTCTATGAATGGAGGGGAAGTGCAGTCCACTTCTCATTCTACCTCACTATATTGGGTGGGGATGTATGTGTCGTATATATAATATTACTTTTATATATATATTATATTTATCCCTCCCCCCTTTCCTGGTTGCAGGGGTGCTGGCTGTGTCCTCTGCTATGTCACCATAGCAACACTTGGAGATTAGGTCCATTAGAGTGTAAGCTCCTCTGGTTAGAGACCTAGGTGACTGGCTTGATATACATCTTAGACTATACACGGAGCCAGTCACCTCAGGTCTAACCAGAGGAGCTTACACTCTAATGTCCCCCATGGTCACACACTATTATTATCATACATTACTATATCTCTGACATATACGCAGCGCAGTGCTGTACAGAGAACACTGAGCCAGTCACATCAGTCTCTGTACCAGAGGAGCTTACACTCTAATGTCCCCTCCCCCCACAGGTCACATCAGTCTCTGTACCAGAGGAGCTTACACTCTAATGTCCCCTCCCCCACAGTCACATCAGTCTCTGTACCAGAGGAGCTTACACTCTAATGTCCCCCTCCCCCACAGTCACATCAGTCTCTGTACCAGAGGAGCTTACGCTCTAATGTCCCCCCCCCCCTACACAGTCACACACTATTATTATACATTTATATAGCTCTGATATATAACTGCAGTGCTGTACAGAGAACACTGAGCCAGCCCCCACCCCCCACCCACTTAAGTTTCTGCACCAGAGGAGCTTACTGTCTAATGTCCCCCCCCCCACACAGTCACATCAGTCTCTAACCAGAGAGCTTACGCTCTAATGTCCCCCTCCCCCACAGTCACACATCAGTCTATTATTATACATTTATATAGCTCTGACATATACCGCAGTGCTGTACAGAGAACATTGAGCCAATCACATCAGTCTCTGTACCAGAGGAGCTTTACACTCTAGTGTACCCCTCACATGTGAACAGTCACATGCTGTTAATCTACTTTATTATGAGCTCTAATGCCATATACCGCAGGGTGCTGTACAGTGAACACTGAGCCCAGTCACTTAACATTTCTGCAGAAAAAAGGAAGCTTACACTGCTAATGTCCCCTCCCCCACAGTGACATCAGTCTCTTACATGAGGGAACGCTCTTACACTCTGTCCCCTCCCCCACAGTCACAATCAAGTCTCTAACCAGAGGAGCTTACACTCTAATGTCCCCTCCCCCACAGTGACATCAGTCTCTTACCAGAGGAGCATTACACTCTGTCCCCTCCCCCACAGTCACATCAGTCTCTAACCAGAGGAGCTTACACTCTAGTGTCCCCCCCCCCCCCACAGTCACATGCTGTTAATATAACAAAGACTTTTTAATTATAGCTCTGACATATACCGCAGTTGCTGTACAGAGTACTCTGAGCCAGTCACTTAAGTTTCTGCACCAGAGGAGATGCACACTCTAATGTCCCCTCCCCCACAGGGCACATCAGTCTCTACTTGTTGAGAAGCTTACGCTTATTAATGTCCCCTCCCCACAGTCACATCAGTCTCTAACCTATAGCGACAAAAAATACCTTCCTCACTGTCAGCATGGTGGTCTTTTCAATGATGTTTCGGTGGATATTGTGAGCTCTAATGCCACAGGGAATCTTGTAGGAAAATTGATGGCAACATGAATGCAGCATGTTATCAGAAAAATACTGGTAGAACAATTTGCATTCTTCTGCAAGAGAAAAGCTGCATGTGGGACGCTCTTGGACTTTCCAGCACAACAATGACCCCCAAGCACAAGGCCAAGCTGACCCTCCAATGGATGCAGCAGAAAAAGGTGACGGTTCTGGAGTGGCCACTGATGACATTACGCAGTTGCTGTATCACAGTCTCCTGACCCTAAATATCATTGAGCCACTCTGGGAGATCTCAAATGTGCGGCTTCATTGCAGGACAACCAAAGACTTCAGGCATTTTGCCGAGACGAATGGGAGCTATGCCACCTGCAAGATTTTTGGGGGCTTCAGACACAACTATTACAGAAGACGGCACGTTGCCATTGATGCCAAAGGGGGCCATACACAGCAACTGAGGAGATGCAGACTTTAGAACCAGGGGCATTTCATTGGTTTTACTTGTTGCCATGTTCTGTTTTATGACATTGGCCAGTTCT